TATACACCCCACCTGTCTATACACCACACCTGTCTATACACCCCACCTGTCTATACACCCCACCTGTCTACACACCCCACCTGTCTATACACCACACCTGTCTATACACCACACCTGTCTATACACCCCACCTGTCTATACACCCCAAAAGGTGCAAAATACGTGCGTGACAGGTGCGTAAAACGCGGGTAATAGGTACGTAAAATGGTCGTAACAGGTGCGTAAAACACGCTTAACGGGTGCGAAAAACGCGCGTAACAGGTGCGTAAAACGCGCGTAACAGGTACTTAAAACGCGCGTAACAGGTGCGTAAAACGCGCGTAACAGGTACTTAAAACGCGCGTATCACGTTCATTGTTTCATTTGTTTTTTTTTTAAGAATTTGATCAAACAACGTTGGAGTTGAAAAATCTTCAACAATGGTCAAAAAATGATCATGTTTCACTTGCCCCTCCTAGATGAAATTACATGTTCCACGTTCCATTAGAGGCAGAAATTTCATCTATATGTGCTTTCACAGGCAAAAAAATTAACGCTAAAACACTTGGTTCTTCCTGTGCAGAGGACCTGAAGGGAGAGTGCGGTGTGCACTCCTGCCCCTACTGCCTCTTCACCACCACCGAGGGCGAGGACAGACTCCAGGTGCACTTGGACCTGGAGCATCCGGACCGGAGGGGCAAGTCCGACGTCTGCAAGGAGATGCTGCTCGCTCCATGGAGGACCGCAAAGACCGAAATCTTCAAAGAGTCCAGCGGCGAAGACCTCTTCGGCAGGAGGAGACGAGAAGACGAGGGTATGTCGTGCCCTTTGTGCGAGGAGTCGTGCCACGACATGCCCACCCTCGAGAAACACGCCATTGAGGTCCATTCGGTCAACTCGGACGGCCTTCAGCGCCTGCTGCTGCTAGTACGGCTTAGCAACGCGGCCAAGAGGGAAGCCAACAGCAACTACAACAACAGTGCAAATGATACTGGGGGGTCAAATGATACCGACGAAGGAACGTCTTTCGGGGTGCGGGGGATAGTTTCACCTGGGCAAACGTCCTCCGAGATCGAAAAGGATATCAAAGAAGAGAATCGGCATAGCCAAGGTAAGTTGTCACGGCACTGGGGGTCTAGTTTATTACCTAATCAAACCCCACTGACTCGAAAATCTGTCTCAAAACCTTTTAATCAGGAAGTTTTCCCAATAGGTGACGATGGTCTGGAAAAAAGTGGAAATGGTGGTCAAAAAGTGCTAAAAGAAAGTAAAAATTCGAGTCCTCACAGCGAAAGCTTGTCATGCAGCGGGTGTGGCTTGACAGTGGAAACAGGGGATCAATTGTCAAGCCACCAAGTGAGTTGTCAGTTGGCCAACGCTCAAGGCTATGTGTGCTGGAAGAAAGGTTGCAGCAAACTCTTCTCTACAGCACAAAGGTTACATAGTCATTTCAAAGAAGTTCACGGCACCGGCCCGTCCCAGAGTGTGGCAGTATCAGAGAAGCATGTTTACAAATATCGATGTCAGCAATGCTCTCTTGCTTTCAAAACGGTCGAGAAGCTCAACTTACATTCCCAATACCACGCTATCAGGGATGCCACGAAGTGCCTGTTGTGTCACAGGAACTTCCGATCCATGGCAGCATTACAGAAGCATGTAAATTCAGACCACCCCGAATTGTCGCCAGAAGAAAGGAGTCAGTTTCAGTCATCCATCGTTGGGGCAGCGGTGGGATCAAACACCGGTCCCGTGCTCGATCCCAGTACGACAGCGTTACTCAGAAGGGAGTCAAACAAAGATGAGTTACAGGAATTGAAAGATGGCAAACCCAGTGAAATTCGCCGTGAGAAGCTCAACTTTGATGTGGCAACCACGTTGTATCCCTTGGACTCTATTGGCCAGAAGCAAAATTCAGGATTCGAATCATCTGGCCACTTTTTGGGACCAAACCTGACCCGGGATGAGTACGATTCATCCTGCAGTCAAGACCCACAATCAAATTCGAGGAAGAATGATACTAACCCAAAGTCTTCATCTGAAGATAAACAAGACTTCGACGCTGCACAGAGATTTCAATCGATTGAGGACTACTTGAACACCGATGTGTTTGCTATGAACAACTACAACGATCCCAACAGAGTTTATAAGTGCCATCGATGTAAGGTGGCATTTACTCGTCAAATTTATCTCGCAGCTCATCAAAAAACTTTGCTTCACCGGAAAGACGAGAAAATTTCATTCCACATGGAGAAATACCTTGACCCTAACAGGCCATTCAAGTGCGAGATCTGCAAAGAATCATTCACTCAGAAGAATATTCTGCTAGTCCACTATAACTCGGTCAGCCATTTGAACAAACTTAAAAAAATGTCGAACGATCGAGAAACTTTGTTGAATTTTGACCACGAAGGAGCAGCAAACAAAATGTTTCCCACACCTTCTAAGATTTCGACCAAAAATGATTCGAGTGGAAATGGCAAAAATTCTAACTCAATTTCGATTTACCAAAAAGATTTTCCCGACTATCCAAAACTGAATCACTACACTACCACTGAGTACCCGGTAATACCCAAACTAAAGAGCCAATCTCCTGACGTGTTCAACAGCATGATGCCTCATTCTTCCCAAGATGCATTTAATCTCCATAATCAAAATGCTTTGCATGACCAATTGTTTCGAATCCATAACAATCTTTTGAAAGGAACGAAAGAGTGTCTACCTCAATGCAGTACAGAGGTAAACGACCCCTTCCCAGCAGGTAGTCTCAAGGAAGTCTCCCCCAGTTCTGCCACCACCATTTGTAATGGTATACCTAGTGCTATTGAACTGCCTTCTCTTTGTTCTTCTAATGCAAATGACAGTGTTAATGGTGATACTTACTTTAAGACTCCGAATAATGCCCACTTTCCTCATGTTTTCCGTAAACCCAGTAGGTTGCACTCCCAATTGCTGGAGAACATTGGGTTTGACTCGGTAGCACATTTTGTTGAGAATGAATTAGAATCACTAAAAATAACACCCGATGATTGTGAACGTGAAGAAAACGTACGTGATCTCTCAAATCAAAATTCAAATTCTAGCTTATCCATTGGTTCGAATAACGTCAAGAATATCAGTGATAAGTTCGAGAAAAATAACCAATCATCAGATGATAAATTGCTAGATACTGAGGCTGCAAGGGCAGTCAATTTTCCAGAACGGTCTAAACCTAAATACGACAAGATTTCCGAGTTTAAAAAACGCACGTGTTGTAAATGCGCTAAAACCTTTAGTAGTTGGTGGATTCTTAAGAACCACATGGAAGAAAGCCATAACATGAAAGTACCACAGTCCTATCTTTCGGACTACTCCAAAGTTGTTTACAAATCTCTCTGTAAGAAAATTTCAGAATCTTATGGGCAAAACAAGGCAACCGACCAAAGCGGGTTTTTCGATACTCCAAAAATCGACTCTGCTAGAAAACTTGACGTTTCCAATCCGTATGGAGGTTCTCAATCAGAGCTCTTAGCCCGGGATATCTCTAGATTAAATACGAATATCTCGGCTTACGTTTCTAAAAAACTTAATGCAAAAGAACGTACTAGTGAGAATGTAGCCCTAACTAGCTCAACTTCAGAAAGTTTCTCGTTTCCTGATCGAAAAATTTGCACTTCTTTAGCCTCTCACAATCCGCATTCAGAGGGTAACCCCTCACTAGACGTTCTGTCACGAACTTTACTAAGAGAAGGTATGTTTGGTATCGTTACAGATGGTGGTGGTGGTGTTGCAAGTGGTGGTGATCGAGCAGACCGCTCCCGTGAGGTAACCCCGGCACCCCAAGTCACCCCTGGTCGTCGAACTCCAACTCCTGGTCGACGAACACCAAGTACACCAACACCTGGAGCCTCAACGACTCCTGGGGTGACTTCCCCGTTATCAGGAGTGGATTTATCGACGACGAACTCCATGGGTGGAGGTGGCCCCATCAATCCCCAAATGGCTGAAATGGCTGCAGCCATCAACGCAATAACGGCTGCTCAAATGCAACACCAAATGCCATTCAACCCAATGATGCTGGCAGGGCTGGGGCTCGCTGGGCTACCCCTACATCTCAACCCTCTCGCTGCCATGAATCTACAGCCCCCTCTGGCTCCTGGTCTGTCGCACCCTATGTTCGACCATGTAGCTTTGGCCAACATGGCTGCCAATCAAAACTCGGGAAATTCTGCTCATCAGAATGAGTTTTTCATGAAGCAGCAGCAACAACAGATGATTCAGCAGCAACAACAGCAGCAACAGCAAGCAGCAGCAGCTGCGGCTGCAGCTGCTGCTGCCGCAGCAGCCCAGCAGAAGCGAGGGAGAACTCGAATCACCGATGACCAGCTCAAGATATTACGTGCCCACTTTGACATTAACAACTCGCCTTCCGAAGAACAAATAGCCGACATGGCAGGCCAGAGTGGTCTTCCGCCAAAAGTCATAAAGCATTGGTTTCGAAACACATTATTTAAAGAACGACAGCGCTGCAAAGACTCCCCTTATAACTTCAACATACCACCTTCCACTACACTGAACTTGGAAGAGTATGAAAAAACCGGCGAAACTAAAGTTCTACCTTTAAATCCGGACGAAGCGAGAGAAATTGTTGAGATAAATCGGTCGAGAGACGTGGACGATCGACCAAGTGATCGAAATAAGGAATCTACACGAGAAAACCTGAACAATTCTTCTCCGCACATAAAAACCTCAACAGGAAACATTGATGCTCAACGTCTCATCGAAAAGATGGAAGAAAGTTCTTCGATTTCATCTCGAATCATCCCATCGAGTGGTATTGGCAGTGACCTTTCGTGTGAGATCCGAGGAAATGGGGCATCCTCTGCCCCCACTTCTTCTCATGCCCAGCCCATGCTCCCGCAGTCTCATCCACACCTCCTTCCCCAGTCATCTCCTCTTCCACAATCTGGGGTGAGTGCTCCCCATTTAGTGTCATCTGCCTCTTGTTCCCCAGTGGGCAGTGTCTCTTCTGCCACGTTCCCCAACACTTTTCCACCCCTTTCATCACCCCAGACATCTATTTCTTTATCCTCTTTCATTTCAAGTCAGCTAGAGAACAATTCGATGATGGCCCATAAAATACCAAGCACTCCACCCCAAGGGGTGAACACAAACATACCTCACCCCAGCGCAGGGCTTAGCCCGACACCGTCTAACCTGTCATATCCAACCACTCCACCCGGTAACAGTTCGTCAGGCAAACGCGCAAACCGCACCCGCTTCACGGACTATCAGATTAAAGTGCTTCAAGAGTTCTTTGAGAACAATGCTTACCCAAAAGACGATGATCTTGAATATTTGAGTAAACTGTTGAATTTATCACCGAGGGTAATAGTTGTTTGGTTTCAAAATGCACGGCAAAAAGCCCGCAAAGTTTATGAAAATCAACCGCCCATTGATCCTATGGAGGAAAATGCAGGACGATTTACTCGTACCCCCGGTCTCAATTACCAATGCAAAAAATGTCTTCTTGTTTTCCAGCGGTACTACGAGTTGATCCGTCACCAAAAGACTCACTGTTTCAAGGAAGAAGACGCTAAGCGGTCCGCCCAGGCACAGGCAGCGGCCGCTCAAGCCGCCGCCTTGTACCATGATGATAATTCGAGCCACTCGAGTATTGCCGATAACTCCTCTCAGTCTCGCGAAATGGACAATTCAAAGGCCCTTGAAGACTCTTTCCAGTGCGACAAATGTAGTTTATCTTTTAGCCGTTTCGAACAATGGCGCGAACATCAGATCGTACACCTTATGAACCCCGCTCTTTTCTTGAACAAAGGGTCGGAATCCCCATTTCCTCCTTTACAACAAATTTCCCAACACTCACCACAACCTTCTACTTCTCTACCACAATCTACACCACCCCCTCCTCCACCTCTGCAGCAACAGCAGCAGCCACCACCACAAACATTGAGTCAGTTTCAGCAACATCAGCAACAACACCAGCAGCAACTGCCTAGTCCACTTCTGCCTCCTGCATCACCAATGAAACGCAAAGCAGAAGAAAGTGAAGACGAACAAAGTGTCGGAGGGGAGCAACAGAGGGACAAGCGTCTTCGTACTACCATTCTTCCCGAACAGCTTGATTACCTCTACCAAAAATATCAAATGGAGGCCAACCCATCAAGAAAAATGCTCGAGACCATCGCTCATGAGGTGGGTCTGAAAAAGCGCGTTGTGCAAGTCTGGTTTCAGAATACGCGTGCTAGAGAAAGAAAGGGGCAATTTCGTGCGCATGCCCAAGTGATAAACAAGAAATGTCCTTTCTGTCCTGCCATATTTAAAGTTAAATCTGCTCTTGAGTCACATTTATCTACTAAACATTCGGATCAGTTTTCCAGTGGTGATATAAACATTGATGCTCTTCCTGACTTAGACGAACACTATGGTTTTGGGAATTTCGGTGGTATCTCCTCTTCCAACCACTCCTCTCCTCCACCTACTGCTCCTCAAGGCATGGCCTCCAGTCTGACGATGAATTCTCTGTTCTCTCCGTCAGAAAGATCTGAAGATACCATAGCCAAGTACCATGAAGAGGCTATTCGACGTTACCTTACTGACGTCTCTATTGCCAACAACAGTACCAACCCACAGCAGCAGCCACTTGACAACAACAATCAAGGGAGCAGTGGGGGAGGAATCAGGAGTCTCGTTCTCAATGGGGGAGCCCATGGATTAGGAAACATGTCGCCATTCAAACGTGAAGGAGAAAAACCGCTGGATTTGAGTCGACCTCTAGAACTGGCCAGATCTCTGGGCGTTAACTTTGGAACGGTCAACAACTCAATGCCCAGTTTTGCCGACCAACTATGCGAGTCTAAAATCGAAAGTTTTGCCAAAAACGCTGATAAAATGAGCGACAAAATGTACGGAATGGACACTCTACTTTCAGACGATGAATATTATCACATGGACGTACCGGAAGGAGACGAAAACGACATGAGTAACTCGTTTGAAAGCAATCCTACTTCCCCGGCCTCGTCCACCACCGGGTCCACAACCAAGCAGGGTAGCAGCCTGAACACATCTGCAAAGCGGTTCCGTACACAGATGAGTAGTACACAAGTCAAGCTCATGAAATCCGTATTTCTGGAGTACAAGACACCTACCATGTCAGAATGTGAGATGTTCGGTCGGGAAATCCAACTACCGAAACGTGTGATACAAGTTTGGTTCCAAAACGCGCGGGCCAAAGAGAAGAAAGCCAAACTTGCGCTCATGAAGATCATCGGTCAGGAACCAGAGCCACCAAAACCACCTACTGAGTGCAAAGTGTGTGGATTTGAGTACAGTAATAAATACTCTATTCAAGATCACCTCTTTACGCGAGCCCACATCGACAACATGAGGGCCTTCATCGAGAAGCAAAAAGAAGAAAATGACCAGCACGGAGCGTCTGCAAATTACCCCGGTCTGAACCCCGGGCAAATGTCGCACGCTGGGATTAGCCTGTCTAATTTCGGCGCAGGAGGAGGAGTTAATTCGGAGATGCCGGCCAATTATCCGCAATTTGGCAACCAATTCCACCCTAACCCGTTACAGTTGCACATGGCTCAACTTATGGCATTAAATGCTCAGTCTAGTGGATCAGAATCAGCGAGTGTGAGGACTGCCTATGAAAATTCAGTCAACGGCGACGTTACGGATATCGAGAAAAATCAGCAGCAGAAACAAACGGTTCGTTCGTCGATGGATAACAGTGCTGGTGACAGTGTGATGAATGATAGTGCAAGTAGGGCAGTGAGGAGCATCAAGAGTGAGACAAGTCCCGGTGATCGTGCAGCACCGCAAGGCTCCGGCGTGCACAGTGAACAAAGTCAATTGAAAATCAGTGAAGCTTTGCTACAGAATTACAACAGAAGCACAGCTGTTGCTTCGAGCAGCGCACCGCCTGTTACAACGAACAGCATGTCTGAAGTGAACAGACTGCAGCTCCTACAACAGGTCTACCAACAGATGGGACTTCACAGCACCGGTAAAGCTGACGTTGATGGTTCAGCTGCAAATGGTAATAACGCTCCAGGAAATGCTAATAATAACAACAATCAGACTAATTTACTGCAATCGCCGATGATTGAAGGGTAACCGCTTCAAATGACAGCCCCCAAATTGCCCAGTTGAAGGGAAGTTGCTCAGGGCTTTACAAGCTACGAATAAAATAGAATGCGTACGAGAATTTGAACGTCTCGCGCGATCTTATCAATGATCGAACATTGGAAATTAGAGTGTGTTACGTTCCTCACGTCGATATTCCTTGACTCGAAATATGTGCTTCAATTTTGTGAATATTGTGTAATGAAATTAGAGGTGCAACTTCTGTACAATTTGTGCCACATATGTACAATTTGTGCAGAGTGTATGACACGCCGATGTGTTCTGTCACAAACCTCAAGTTTGTGGAAACTTTTTACACACCCACATAAATATTTTAATTTTACATTTAAATTTAATTTGTTTAAAAGAATTTTATATTTGACATGACAAACTATAAAATGTTTCTACATGTGCATGCTGTTCTGTGATGATGAAAAAAAAGGTGGTGATTACACGATGGAATTAATGAGTGATGATTGCATGATAAAAACTATGTGTGATGCTAAGGTGCTGATTACACGATGAAAATTGTGGGCGATGCAAATCAGTGTTTTTCAAGCGAATTCAGAAGTACTGAGTTACTAGTTTTTCTTAGTTTCCATGTTAGGTGTTGGGTCGTGCAGACGCTTCGTGCAGACCCAGTTTATTTTTATTATTTTATTTTTTATTTTTATTTTATTTTTTTTAATATCCATGACCTTTTATCCATGCCGAGAAATTATATGGATTCGAAGAGATTGAAATTATAGTTGAATTTGAGGTGTAAAAACTACCTGGATATAAATAGTGGGGAAAAAATCTTGCTATGAATTAGATTGTTTAAGGAATACGAGCTTTAATAATTCGGCGGTCGTCTTTTGAAATCTAACCAAAAATTCTAAACTTGATCCAAAAGAAATTTGTGTGAAATTTTATACGAAACTGTTATTTGTTCCTGGAAAATAATGGGAGATAAAATAGGCTATGCATTATTTAATGTTATTTAATTCTTAAGAACGAAAAATGATTATTTTTGAAATGGTTAGCCATTTATTCCCTGTTGCTCATTGTTTTATTTAATTTATTGATCTATTTATACTTTTTTGTGCCTGCTGAGGTCACGTCAAAATTACTTATTTCTCCTTCATTTTTTTCGCGTTTTAAAATTTTTCAGGAAAGTTACGAAATTATGATGACGAATGTATACTTTCTGTGTTCGATTATTACAAATCATTATGCTAATTATACATGAAATACTAACGTTTATAAATGAAGTGACTATTAGTGACAAGCCACAAGTAAATGGTTAATTTTTAGTCCAATAAATCAAATTAATGACCGTTAACTAAAAGTTATTTTCTACGTTTCTTTGCCGTTCCTTCAAAGGGAATTTCTTTTTTAAGTTGTTAACAAATCGCTTGATTGATTCTGTTTTGTTTGGTTGCAGGGAAGTGTAGAGTGTATTACGTAAAATATACATCAAGTATCCCCATGTGTCACACAATGTGACACACAATGTGACACACAATGTGACACATCACAATGTGAATTACTATAAACATTACAAAATATATATTTGTCACATTTCTCGAAATGTATCTTCACTATACACTGGGATGTATCTCTCTCACCTCATGATGTTTCTTTTCTATACAACATAACATATATTTAAATAAACCGAGATGTATCTTTTGTGTATATTTTCATACATATACATACATATACATTTCATATACATTTCATATACATTTCATACATATACATATACATATACATACATATACATTTCATATACATTTCATACATATACATATTTTCATACATATACACCCTACTTTTTGCGTACTAAACTACACGTATAATACCAAATAGACTAAAATACAAGAGTAACTCCAGAATATAGAAGTACTAAAGTACTTTAATTTTCAAAAGTACTTCAATTTTAAATCCAGACGTGAAGTCCACCATATCCATCAGAACAGGTGGAGGTATCCACCTAATTCAGTATATCCACCAACCGTATTTTCTTCCTATTAATTAATAATGTGTACGAAGTCGAAGGTCATTATATGTATTGTTTGTGTCTCTGTTTTACTGATAACTTATTCTTTTTTGAAAACATTGTGTTATATCTTTATAAATATTATATATATCCATAACGATATCCTCGCGGTAATGTCACAAAGACTTACAACCTTAATTGTAATTTATCCACAAACTGCAACCGTACACACATCCTTCAGGACTAATATCCATTGGGGTGTTTAATATCCATTGGGGCATTGAATATCCATTGGGGTGTTTAATATCCTTCAGGACTGAATGTCCATAGGGGTACTGAATGTCCATTAGGGTGTTTAATATCCATTGGGGTACTGAATGTCCATAGGGTGTTTAATATCCATTGGGGTACTGAATGTCCATAGGGGTACTGAATGTCCATTGGGGTGTTTAATATCCATTGGGGCACTGAATGTCCAGTGGGGTGTTTAATATCCATTGGGGCACTGAATATCCATTAGGGTGTTTAATATCCATTGGGGTACTGAATGTCCATAGGGGTACTGAATGTCCATTAGGGTGTTTAATATCCATTGGGGTACTAAATATCCATTGGGGCACTGGATATCCATTGGGGTATAGAATATCCATTGGGGTACTGAATATCCATTGGGGTACTGAATATCCAGTGGGAGTGTGAATATCCATTGGTAGCACTGAATATCCAGTGTTGGTATAGAATATCCATTGGGGTATAGAATGGGTTGTAGTAATTTCCTGCCTTCAAGTTTCCAGTTAACTGCCTTACTGTAATTATAATTTATTAGTATTTAAAACCTTATCATAAATCCTACCTTGTTTATATGTTAATAAACCCATTTAATTTTACCGCTTGTCCCAGATTCTTCAGTTTCTTTCTGTAAAAATTGTCTGAACATAAAGTGTTTTTTTGTTTATTTTTGTTTAATTTTCTTCCTATTTTTTTCCACCCGCACGATTTTAAACCTCATTTTTTTTGGAAATTTTATTTTAAACCAAAAATTTTGCCAAGCTTGGAAAATGGCGGCTATGGTCAACGCGCCTCAAAAAAAATTCATAAAAATCCCGCCTAATTTTTTTCATAAAATTTCATTAAAAGCCAGCTATAAAAAAACATTTTCGTAATAACCATTATCCATGGATTGATGGTTAATTAATTTTGACTAAAATTGATCCAATTAATAACTAATACGTCTTAATTAATTATTAATTGAACCAATTAATAATTGAACGTCTTTAGATGAATTCGTAAATTCAAATTTATGTACCGAAATTGCAGCATTTTACATAGAAGCGCAATTTTTATTACTAATATTATATTTATTCAAGCACCACAAAAAAAGAGTTTGCGTAACAAACCATTGAAATAATTGTCTTTTTTTAATCAAATTAATTAAAAATATTTGAAATTGTGAGCTGAAAATAATGAATTTCGAAGCTGCAAAATAAATCACCAAAGGATACTGCGGTGGAGGGAAGGATACTGCGGTAGAGGAAAGGATAATGCGATGGAGGGAAGGATAATACGGTGGAGGGAAGGAAGGGAAGGATAATGCGGTGGAGGGAAGGATACTGCGGTGGAGGGAAGGATACTGCGGTGGAGGGAAGGATAATACGGTGGAGAGAAGGATATTAAGTAATTCAATGCACGAGTGGTGATTGGTGCACGACATTTTCACCATCTTAATGTCACCATCTGCAACCCTTTACATAACCATCTGAATTTCCACGTGACATCTGACAGAAAAAATCAGCCTGATTGGTTGAATTTCCAGAGCATGCAGAACAGGTTGAATAATATCTGTCACGCTGATTACTACAATGAATTTCACAGTGAAAGCTGAATATGAAATAGCAAATTGAGAGATAGATTGCAAGTTGTAATGCAGGGTGCGTTTACGAAGAGCTTAGATTAATTTTTTATTTATGTTTTAATTTAAAAAATTTATTGGAAAACAAAGATTTGCAAAGTCGATCATAAAATGAGAAATAGATTGCAAGTTTTAATGCAGGGTTTGTATACGAAGAGCTTGAATTTATTTTTTATTTCTGTTTTAATTTTTAAAAATTCATTGGAAAACAAAGATTTGCAAAGCCCATCATAGAAAAGAGGGTAAAACTAATTTTTAAATTTAGTATATTGTAATTCATTTACAATATACATCTCACGACACTTCATTGAAGTAATGCTGCAAATAAAATTGCATATATTTTTGGTAGTTTTCAGCAATTCACAAAAAACAAGGAAGCTCAAATGTAAAATTTTCTGAACCCGCATCTGTTTTTGCAAGAGAAACGAGGAGGTCATTTGTATACTGAGAAAAATATACATACCAATTCGTGATATGTGTACATGTACACATCCGTACAAAGTTTAGCACTATACAAGCGTGTACTTGAGGAGGAAACTTTGAAAATACATGTGGTAGCATTGAATGTGTGTGAAGTAGAAATGTGTATGCGCTGTGTAACAGATATGTGTAGGATCTGTGTAAAAGGAATGTGTAAGATCTGTGTAAAAGATATGTGTGCGAGATGCACAAGATATATGTATAGGAGCTGTGTAAAAGGAATGTGTAGGAGCTGTGTAACAGATATGTGTACGAGATGCACAAGATATATGTGTAGGAGCTGTGTAAAAGTAATGTGTATGAGCTGTGTAAAAGGAATTTGTAAAAGTTTTGTAACAGATATGTGTGCGAGATGCGTAGGAGATCTGTGTAGGAGCTGTATAAAAGGAATGTGTAGGAGCTGTGTAAAAGATATGTGTACGAGATGCACAAGATATATGTGTAGGATCTGTGTAAAAAAAATGTGTATAAGCTGTGTAAAAGATATGTGTACGAGATGCACAAGATATATGTGTAAAAGCTGTGTAAAAGATATGTGTTCAACATGAAAAGCTGAAACCGTACAAGCCATAATATTGAGTTATAATGTACGTGTAAAAAGAATCGTCGTGTAGGCACCCGCAAAGAATTTAAACCATAAAGTCAATGTTTATAGTCGATTTAAGGTCGATTTTTGGTCGATCTATGGTCGTATCATCGGCGTTGATCTATTGTTCCTACTTATCGAAACCTAAGCCTCGCAAAGTGTGGTTCCCGATTACCTAGTAACTTATAAATACTATACATAGTGTCTAATAGTGATAATACATCTAGTAATACTAGGACCTATATGGATGATAGGCGAGTAAGCAGTAGATGATGTCTGTCTATCATTAAGTATTTGTTCACGTGAACATTTCATTCTAAATCTATGTAATTTATAGGAAATGTTTGGCTAATTTTTTTTATGTTAATGGAAGTTGGCAGCTTGGTTTTAATGGAATGTTTAATGGTGGTAGGCAATTTTTTCAGGTCTAGATGAAAACCATTCCATAATTTTGAATTATTTTGTTTTACTTACGCGCGTTATAACAAATTCTTTCTGAATGCAAAACCTTATCACTTAGAAATTTATTTTATATGGCCTCTAACTTGGATTTTAGCCAGAACACATACACTGTTAGAAAAAACGGTGAAAAAACGTTCCCACCGGCGTTCTAGTGACCGGTGGCCCCGTGAAAATAAACTGTTTCGCCGTTTTTATCAGATGTTTTACGGATTTCTAGTGTACTGAAACGCCGGTATAATACCGTTAACGGTAATTTTTCTAACAGTGTACACTGTTAGAAGAATTACCGTTAACGGTATTATACCGGCGTTTCAGTGGCCGGTCGGCACGTGAAAAGAAACACCGTGTCGCCGTTTTTATTCTAATTTAACACTAGAAATCCGTAAAATGTCTGATAAAAACGGCGAAACAGTTTATTTTCACGGGGCGACCGGCCCCTAGAACGCCAGTGGGACCGTTTTTTCACCGTTTTTTGTAACAGTGTAGGTTCTAAGTTAAACCTACTGAATCAAACACTGTATAACCATGAAGAGATAACACCGAATGAACGATAGTGTAGGTAATTGGTGATATTTGGTAAGCTTAATTTTGCTGAACAAAACGGCTTCACAGTTTTACTGTAAAACGGCTTTATTGATTTACTATAATTAACTACGGCACGAATTACGAGAGATGT